GGCTAAAAGACTGTATTCCCTTCCCAGCTCAGCCTCAAGTTTGAGCTACAGACAGTGAGTTTTAACTGCCCACTACTTCTCGCAGCTGCAAAATGGGAAGGTCAGTCCCTAAGCTTTTATGGACACTGTGGGGTTTTGATAGCCAACCAATCAGTGATACCTCGGCTTAGGTAGTGCTGCATGATTTATGCACCACGAACCTGAATCTATCCTTATAGCCCCCACAATAACCATGAGAGGTAGAATTTTTTATATTTCACTGGGGCTCAGAGAGAGAGGACATCACTTTGCTCAAGTCACAGAGAATGTTGGTGGCAGAACCAGGTTTTGAACTAGGTCTCCTGGTGCCTTTGGGGAGAGGGATGGACTTAATCACTTCTATTCCTTTTGACTGCAAATTTTGGTAATATAGATTTGCCTAGAAAATTGTCAAGATTTTAGTTTTGATGCAAGATTACACATAATATTTAAGAATGATTTTAAATCTCTGAAATTCTCCTCTGTGTCTCTTGCTCATTAAGAATTGTTATAAGCTTTGTCTATTTGAATATTTTAAACCTGTTTTGTTGGCTCACTTTTTAAAGTAAATCTACTTCATTCAGTTCTGCTTGAATCTTTGTTGATTTTTTTCTTCTTTGTCTTTCCAGAGTTTTCTAATTATTTTGTTTTCTGTTGTTACCATGTTGCTTTTCTGGCATTTTGTTGGATAAATTAAATTTTCCTTTGTTTTATTTTTTTCATTGTTTGTCAGTTTTGTGTCCTCTTTCTATCCTTGCTAGTATTCGTTTTCAAAATGAAAGATATATTTGTGTCTTTTTCTGCTATACCTGAAGTTGCATAGCACCTGTGTCCTTTCCTTAAACAAGACAAAAACTCCAGCAACTTTCACTTCTGTCCCTCTTACAGATCTCTTCCATACTAAGATCACTTTGAATTGTAGAGCTAGGCTATTATTAAATCTTTTTTTTAAAAAAAGGTTTTTATTTATTTATTCATGAAAGACAGAGAGAGAGAGAGAGAGAGAGAGAGAGAGAGGCAGAGAGAGAGGCAGAGACATAGGCAGAGGGAGAAGCATGCTCCACGCAGGGAGCCCGGTGTGGGACTCGATCCTGGGACTCCAGGATCACGCCCTGGGCCAAAGGCAGGCACTAAACCACTAAGCCACCCAGGGATCCCCTGTTATTAAATCTTATTACTATTTGCTCATAACTGCTCCTCATATTTAATATATTTCTTCTGTATCCTCCATTTACTTTGCTGGAGTACATCCTGCAGTGATTCTTTCAGAAAAGGTGACTGGTAAGCTTTCTAAGTTCCTGTGTATATGAAAATGTCTTTTTTTTTTAAATAGAAGATTTATATATTTATTTGGGAGGAGGGCGAGAATCCTCAAGCAGGCTCCCCACTGAGCCCAGAGCCCAACTTGGGGCTCAGTCCCACAACCCATGAATCATGACCTGAGCTGAAACCAAGAGTCAGATGCTTAACCAACTAAACCATCCAGGCAGCCCTGAAAATGTCTTTATCTTGGCTTTGCCTTTGAAAGAGAGCTTGCCTGGGCATGGAATTCTGGGTGGTTGATATTTGAAATTTGAAAACACTGTGTTTCTTGATGATTCTGGTGCTGCTGCTAAGAACTCTAATTTCAGTTTATTGTAGGTAATCTGTGTTACTTTCCTTTCTACGGCTTTTGGTGTTTTGTCTCCATCCTGAGGGTTCTGACATTTCATCACCATATGTCTGTCTGTGTTCACCTTGCTTAGCACTTGGTGGGCTCTTTTGGATTAAGAAATCACGTCTTTCTCGAACTCTCTTTTTACTGTTTCTTCAAGTATGTACTTTCCTTGGCTCTCTCTGATCCCCTATTCCAGAGCTACTAATGGACACCTGTCAGCACATGGTCTGTCCTCTGGGTCTATCACCTTTCCCCCCAACATTTCCCACCTCCTTTTCCCCTGTAGTGCATCCTTGAAAAGTTCATGGCTTGGATTTCCTGCTCATCTGCTCACTCTCTAGTGTCCATTCTGATTTTTCAGCCCATCTGTTGTGCTTTTGGTTTTTATAGTCATACATTTCATTTCCAATAGATCTCATTTTTTCCATTTCATAATGTTTTTTTACAAGTGCACAATTCTCTTATCTCTTTGGGGACATTAATTATGTTTTAAGAAACTGTCTTCATCAGTTTGCTTTATTGTCTCTTCCTGAGGTGTGATTTATTGTCTGTTGAGTTGGTGCCTTTCGTTCATGGTGTTGGCCTTTTTTTCTCGAATAATTTGAAATTCTTGGTATTTGGGGGTTTCCACTAGCTCGTCTTTGCTTTACTATTTATGGCTGCTTTGACTCTTGGACGGTTGGTACTATAGATGAAGGGTAGAGAAGGAGTGTGCAAGAATTCAGTTGTATAGGGGTGCCTGGGTGGCACAGTTGGTTGAGCTTCCAACTTTTGCTTTTGACTCAGGTCATGATCTCAGGATCCTGAGTTTGAGCCCCTTGTTGAGCTCCATGCTCAACCTCAGCGGGAAGTCTGCTTCTCTGCCTCTCTCTTCCTCTTCTTCTGATCCTCCCCCTGCGTGCTCTCTCTCTCTCTCAAGTAAATACATAAGTCTTAAAAAAAAATAATTTGGCTGTATAAACTTGAGAGAGTCCCAGTTTCTCCTGGAGGTCATCAGCTTTTGAGGCACTCTCTCCAACCACACATGTCTCAAGGCAGGTGAATCCAATGCCTAATTCTTGACACAGTAGGAGTAGGAATACAGGTCCTATCTGTCTGACTCCATGTACTATGGTCCTCTGACAGTCACTCTGGGTCCCTCCCCTAACCCAGTAGCCATATCACTTGCTCCCTAGTTGCACCCACATTTAGCACCAATCTGGAATCTTCCCTGTGTGTTTTGGGTTGGGCTTTCCTCTTTCAACTTAGTTCTGCCTACTTCCAGTCTCTCAAGCACTCCTCAAAATTTCTGGTCCACTGCTTCTTGTTTTCCAGTGCTATTAGGATCTGATTTTTATTTTTATATACTTACATTTTCTGCTTTACTGAGTTATCAACAAATTTAAGAAGTGCATATTTACGTTGTACATTATGCTTTTTTCCCCAAAAGTATACAATGTGATGACTTAATATACATTGTGAAATGATTACTACAGATTGTTAACACATTTATCACCTCACATAGTTACCATTGTTTCTTTGTTTGTTTTGTTGTAAGAACACTTAAGAGCAACTCTCTTAGCAAATTTCAAGTATGCAATATGATATTATTAACTATAATCACCACATGATTATACATATGATATACATATAATAATATACATACATATAGCTCTAACCTGTATGTTAGATCCCCACTACTTATTTGTTTTATAACTGGACATTTGTATTCTTGGCAACCCCTCTTCTACTCTCTAGTTCTATGAGTTGGATGGCTTTGGATTCCACACACAAATGAGATCATATGGTATTTGTCTCTCTGTGTCTGGCTTATCTACTTAGCAGAATGTCCTTCAGGTTCATCCACGTTGTTGCAAATGGTAGGATTTCCTTCTTTTTTGTTGCTGAATAATATTCCATCATGTGTGTGTGTCTCTCTCTGTGTATGTATTTTCTACATTTTCTTTGTCCATCCATTCATGGGTGTGCACTTTGGTTGTTTCCATCTTGACTGTTGTAATTCTGCAATGAATATGGGAGTGCAGACATCTTTTCTAGATTTTGATATTATTTCTTTGGATATATACCCAGAAGTGAGATTCCTGGATCATACAGTAGCTCCATTTTTAATTTCTTCAGGAACCTACCATTATGGCTGTATCGGTGTACACTGGGACCAAGAATGTACCAGAGTTCCTTTTTCTCCACACCTTCACCAACACTTATTGTCTCATGTCCTTTTGATAATAGCTATCCTAACAAGTGTGAGGTGGTATCTCATTTTGATTTGCATTTTCCTGATGACGAGTGATGTTGAGTACCTTTTCATATACTTTTGGCTATCTGTATGTCTTCTTTAGAAAAATGTCAATTCAGCTCCTTTGGCCATTTTAAAATCAGATTATTTGTCTTTTGGCTATTGACTTTAGAGTTTCTTGTATGTTTCAGATATTAACCCCTTATAAGATGTATGGTTTACAGAAATCCCACATCTCCCACAAAGGCATTTTCATCCATGGATGGCTGCCAAATCATTGTTACTGAGGGGATATATGAGTGGGGGACCTCTGTCTCGCCATCTTGCTGATGTCACAACAGGGACTTATCTTTAGTTTTTAAATTTCTAGGATTGGGGGGATGGGGGTCAGTGGGAGCCTGTGTTTGTCTACCATCTGGATTCAATCACCATATTGTTTGCATATGTCCTCTGCCCCCCACTGCCATGCCCCAGTTCAGGCTTCCACACTTCTCACACTGCATCAGAGAAATTCTAAACTCGGACCCATTGGGTCATTACCCTGGTCAGAGTCCTTCAGTGGCTTTCCACTGACTTGATGATAAGACCCTCATCTAGCCTGGCAGGTACCATGCCACTTCCTTTCTCCTGGCTCCCCTTCCTCCAGCCTTTGGGTCGCATGTGATTGCACTTGCCATGGGCTGACTCCTATCTTTCAGTATCCAGGTGGTTGGCCTTTCTTGGGATTCAGGTTGGGTGCCTTGCTCTGTTTGCATAGTTCCCTGTGTGCATCCTTTGGTTGCACCTATGGCCTGGTGTTCCTGTGGATTGTAATCATTTCCTTTTTAGGCTTCTTCACCAGAGTGGGATTTCTCAATGGGCAGGGTTCATTACGAGGGTTTGGTGGCTGAAATGATGGATTCCTGGACTTGGTGGTCAAGAGGTGTGGGTACTCTCTGTTCCTCTTATGCCTGGACTGAGGATGTTAATGGACCCCTTACCCAGGAGAATGAGCTCTCCCCTCCCACCCTGCACCTTGAGGAGGGACCTCTCCTTGACTTGCAGCAGCGCCTCAAGAATAGGCTGACATGACTGTTGCTTTCCCCACAGGCACTGGTGCCATCACACCGTCACGCGGACAGTGTCCTGCCAGGTGCAGAATGGCTCAGAGACAGTGGTCCAGCGTGTGTACCAGAGCTGCCGGTGGCCCGGGCCCTGTGCGAACCTCGTGAGGTAAAGGCTGTGGGGCTAGCCGGCTCTGCCCTTCCTTTCTGGCCCCTTGGGTGAATCCAACCTCAACACATGCTGCTCGGGAGGCGGGTTGACGCTTGGAAACAAGCGGAGCTTGCATTTATGGAGCACCTTCTGTGTACAGAGCATGGGGATATGTGTGGGCAAGATGAAAGGGACATGCTCCCCACCCTGAAAGAACCTCACAATCGAGTGGGAGTTTGATGAGGAGAAGAGCACCATAGACAGCAAGTGGGGAGAAGGGACTCCCTCTCATGGCCCCACCTCATAGCCCCGCCCCTCCTGGCCCCGCCTCCCTAGCCCCACCCCTCTCACCCTGTCCTCACAGCTCCACCCCTCTTGGCCCCGCCCCTCTCACCAGCCCCCACCCACATCCCTCAGGCAGCTACTCAGCATCCACTGGGAGAAATCTGAATTCAAGGTCTCTGACACCCCACCTCACCTGTTTCCTAGTCCTCTTTCCTTCCAGTCTGTGCTCCAGCTCCAGCCTCGTTTACTCTCTCTCCACACCTGACCAACCCTGAGTTTCTGCCTCAAAGACCCTTCCCCCTCTCTGCCTGGGACCACCTTTCTCAAATTCCAAATCCCTTCCCAAATGAACAAACGAAATACAGAAACAGACCTATAAATACAGAGAACAAATTGGTGGCTGACAGAGAGGAGTGGGGGCAGGCCAGATAGGTGAAGGGAGAGTAAGAGGTAGACTTCCAGCGACACAACAGCCACACGGGGTGAAAAGTACAGCAGAGGGAATATAGTCAATAATATTTAACCTTGTATGGTGCCAGATGGTAACTACACGTGCCACAGTGAGCATTTTGTCATGGATATAATTGTCAAATCACTATGCTGTACACCTGGAGCTAATATAGTATGTCAATGATATCAATTAAAAAAACTCTCAGCAACATCCATTTATGTTTGACCAAGTATCTGGGTATGCTGGCCTAGCCAAGTAGACACAAAATTAACCATCACAGGAGTCATGATGAATTGGGTATGTTTTCATTACCAAGGATGGAGAGACTGAGCCCAGGAGTCGGGTCTTGTGCGGACACAGTGCTGCCCCCTGCAGGGCTCACATGCAGCCAACTCAGAATCAGCTTGCATGTGGAGCTGGGATCCATGATTCCGGTCCTGGGCAGCAGGCTGCAGAGCCAGTCAGGGGAAGGAGTGGCCTGTTTGTTTTCTAAAATTTCATTCTATCTTTCATTATTATTATGAAGAAAGTGGTATATACTCGCTGTCCACCCCCCCTCCCCGCCCCAGTCCAAATGTTACAGAACTGAATAGGGTGGAAGATGAGCATTCTCCCTTCTTCTACTTGCACCTACATAATCTCATTATTAATATTAACAGTGTGTTATTCCAGACCCTTTTCTCCTCTTATACATCCTCTTATATATGTATCTTCTTTTCTTTTTTTAAGATTTTACTTCTTTATTTGACAGAGAGAATGAGAGAGAGAGAGCGCAAGCTGGGGGAGAGGCAGAGGGAGAGGGAGAAGCAGATCCTCCACTGAGCAGGGAGCCCCATGTGGGACTCCATCCCAGGACCCCGAGATCATGACCTGAGCCAAGGGTGGACGCTTAACCGACTCAGGCACCCAGGAGCCATATATATATATTTTTGTAAACAAAGACCGGATGATGTTCTTTTGTTCTGCAACTTGCTTCCCTCCACAAAAATATTTTGCAATCATTTCTGAAGAGCCACCTCATTTTTTTTATAAATTAATTTTTATTGGTGTTCAATTTACCAACATACAGAATAACACCCAGTGCTCATCCCGTCAAGTGTCCCCCTCAGTGCCCGTCACCCATTCACCCCCACCCCCCGCCCTTCTCCCCTTCCACCACCCCTAGTTCGTTTCCCAGAGTTAGGAGTCTCTATGTTCTGTCTCCCTTTCTGATATTTCTCACACATTTCTTCTCCCTTCCCTTATATTCCCTTTCACTATTATTCATATTCCCCAAATGAATGAGAACATACACTGTTTGTCCTTCTCCAATTGACTTACTTCATTCAGCATAATACCCTCCAGTTCCATCCACGTTGAAGCAAATGGCCACCTCATTTTTAATGGCTATGCAGCGTTCCATTGAAGGAGAGGATCATCGATGATTCCTCATGTCCTCAATTGATGGATATTTAAGTGGTTTCCTAGTTTGTTTGTTTTTTTAATATTTTATTTATTTATTTGAGAAAGAAAGAGCAAGAGAGAGAGCATGCATTAGAGCAGGGGAAGGGCAGAGGGAGAGGGAGAGAGAATCCCAAGCAGATTCTGCGCAAAGCGCAGAGCCCGACTCAGGGCTCGATCTCATAACTCTGAGATCATGATCTGAGCCAAAATCAAGAGGCTTAACTGACTCAGCCCCCGAGGTGCCCCAGTGGTTTCCTAGTTTTAACTATTATAGGCTATGTATGCTTCAATCAGCATCATTATATATATATATATATATATATATATATATATATATATATATATAATATATATACACATTATATATAACATTATATATATAATTATATATATCATTATTATATCATTATATATATCGCTTTATATATATATTTTAACATTTTTACAGTTTTTTTAAAAAAACATTATTTTGGAATAATTTTCAATTTTCAGAAATGTTGCAAAAAAATAATAAGCAGAATTTCTATAGATCTTTTATTTCACTCAGCTTCCCTGTCTTGGTCAACTGGGGCTGCCATAACACACTACCACAGACTGGGTGGCTTAAACAACAATTTATTTCTTAAATTTCTGGAGGCTGGGAATTCCAGGATCGAGGTGCTGGCAGGTTTGGTGTCCAGTGAGGACCACATGGCAGAGGGTAGAGGGAGCTCTGTGGGGTCTCTTTTATGAGACCAACTCCATTCATGAGGGCTCCACCCTTAGGCTCATGACTTAAGCACCTCCCAAACGCCTGCCTCCTAATGCTGCCCATCGATTAGGCTTCAACATACAAATTTAGGGTGAAATAGAAACATTTAGTTCATAGCAATCTTTTTTTTTAAAAAAGATTTTATTTATTTATTCATGAGAGACACAAAAGGAGAGAGGCAGAGACACAGGCAGAGGGAGAAGCAGGCTCCATGCAGGGAGCCCAATGTGGGACTTGATCCCAGGTCTCCAGGATCACACCCTGGGCTGAAGGCGGCGCTAAACTGCTGAGCCACCCATGCTGCCCAATCAGTAATCTTTTATAACCATAGTATAATTCTCTAAGCCAGAAAATTAATGATGATATAATACTATAAATTAAGTGTAGATCTTATTCAGATTTTGCCACCTGTCCCATAATACCCTCTTTCTATCCACCCCCCCCCATTTTGCATTTAAATTGTCCCATCTCTGTAGTTTCCCCCAAATCTGGGGCAGTTTCTCAGTCTTTGTCTTTCATGACCTTGATACTTTTCAACAGACCGGCCAGTTATTTTGCAGATGTTCCTTAGTTTGGGTTGGCCTGATGTTTCCTTAATTTGACTGAGATAGTGCATTTTCAGGAGGGAGACTGTCAAAGTGATGCTGTGCCTTTCTCAGGGCATCCTGTTAAGGGGTCCATCAAATCAGTGGACCTCCTTCCTGGTGACGTTAAGGTCAATCACTTGGTTATGGGCGGAGGGGGGGTGTTTGGCAGATTTCCTCACTGTTGAGTAATTACATTTCCCTTTGTCATCTACAGGTATCTTGTGGAGAGGTATTCTGAGTCTGTACAAATATCTTGTTTCTCATCCTCTTTCCACCCCCTAATCTTAGCCTCTCCATGGATGATTCTGCCTGCAATAATTACTATGGTGGTGCTTGGCAAATGATGATTTTCTAGTTTCCTAATTCTTTAAAATTTTCATAATTTTTAAAAGATATATTTATTTATTTTAGAGAGAGAGAAAGCAAGTGAGAGCACGAGGAAGGGGGACAGAAGGAGAGGGAGTGAGAACTTCAAGCAGATTCTGCTGAGCCTGGAACCCAATTTGGGGCTTGATCTCATGACCTGAGATCATGATCTGAGCCGAAAGCAAGAGCCAGACGCTTAACTGTGCCACCCACACTGTACCTCTAAATTTTCATAATGTTTTAATAATACAGTGTCCACACTGTATACAAGTGTATTGACAGTGATTCCTTCTGTAAGGGGAATGGCTAAGGAAATGGATATGTCCATTTTTTAAATTTTAAGAGAGAGATCTGCTCTTCACTCCTGTGCTGGAGGGATGGCCAGTGGATCTGTAAATGAAGACAAAGATGCTGACCCCCCCTTCCTGTTCAGCAGAAGGCAGAGAGATCCCAGTCTCTCTTTCCTTCCCCTGTGCCCCCAGGAGCTGAGTTCCCAGGCCTTCCTGCCTTACTCATCAGCAGGAAGCCTCTGATGACCAGGTCGCCACCTCCTGATCCTAGAAGCATCTTCTGAGAGAAGGGTCTTAGGAGTCTCGTCTGTAGGTGGCCCCGACAGGGTAGACTGTGAGGAGTGGCTGTCCCGCTCTTCAAACATGGTAGCCGTCCCTTGAATGTAGGCCATTGAGAAGCAAGGCTACACCTGCCTCAGTTTGAATGCTACCATCTTGCTTTTTTGCATGGGGAAGTCAAACTTGGAAATGGTTCTTTTCAAGACAGGGTATTTTGATGTCAGCAAGCAAATACTTGTCTTCAGAGTTGAGAAAGAAACGTGAAGAGTCGTGTGCTTCTATTTTTTCTCTACAGATTGCAGCCAAATTGAACTTGAGCCACAATCCTATGTGTTGGGTACATCCCCCCAGGCAGCTACCAGGGTGGAAGCAAGACAGTGTGCAGACCCCTCCCCCAACACACACACACACACACACACACACACACACACACACACACCATTATATTGCTTTGGGTTTAGCAAATGAACTGTCAGGATTCCTTTAGCTAAAAAATCCTTGGGAAGAGGGCTGGCTTTCCTAATGTCAAAGTTACAAGTTGAGCCTTTTATATTTTCTAAACACAG